CGATGGGGGTTGGTGGGTGTCCCTCAACACCAACCACTACTAGTTTTCCAAAGCTGACTTATTGGTAGTATTCGTCTTACACTGGCTCTTCATATGTCCTTGCTCTCCACAGTATCAACAACCTTTCTGAGTAGCAGCCTTTTCTGCCATGGCATCTTCCCTGTGTTGAAGTTGCCAGCATTGAGCTCTCTTGTGCCCAGGTTTGTTACAGTGCCAGCAAAGTCCCTCAAACTTCTCTGAAATCTGTCCTTTTCTCGCCTTGAATCCTGATGACTGTACCAACCTTGGTACCTCTGTGCTGGACTTAAAGTAGGATTCAAATTCAAGATCTCTTACCATTGCATCCTGCATAGTAGAGGGGTGTGCTTACTTTTCTTGTATCTTCAGTTGTGGACTGTCCAAGGAATCTACAAACTGATCTCTCAGCAAGAACCTAAGGACATCGGGTGGCGCAGTTGGGTATGCCTTGTGTGCCATACTTTCCAAATCCTGTGCCAGCTCTCCCCTTTAGCATGGACTGTAGTCCGAAACCTAGCCCTGTAAACTTCTGACTGATTTTGAGTTCCATACCTAATTTCTAGAGCAGCTACCAGTGCTCTATAGTTGTGCCTGTTGTATGTTAAACTGTCCAAGTATTTCCAGTGGTCGTCCCTTCAAGCTCGTTGCCAGATACACTGCTTTCAGCTCCTCTGTCCATCCAATCATTTCTGTCAGGAGCTCAAATTGTGCTCTATATGCTTCCCATGGTGCCTTTCCATCGAATTCTAGTGGCTTCCTTCGTACTAGATCACCCCTATTGCTGACACATAAGGATAAAGGTTTCTCCAATCCAAATCGTAATGTCTGTTTACAACAAAATACTAATATTGAAGAGACTCGTACTAATACCATATGTGAGTCACTGATTAATAACTACAACAATGTAAACACGTACATTGAGCTGTCTCATAAAATATATTCTTCTTCCAACTCCACTAACTTAGTCACTTCTGTATCTGATCGACCCAAACCCAAGAACACTTCCAATGTGTCAATCTGTCCTCTAAAACACTAACTGAAACTCAACACAAACTTCTCAGTAAAGGTCTTGATTTTTTCTCCTACACTTAAAAACATAGATAGCTTTGAAGTCATTTCGAACCTGCAAGAATTTGCATGCAAATTAAGAATTAGAGAATTTTTTTCACAATCAAACCACCGAAAGAAATAATTTCGACTTACAGTTTAAAGAAAAATCCTTCTGGTCACCCCCAGCCAACAGGGAATCACGTCTGCACATCTAGAGAGTTTTATTACTGCAGTTGAAAATGGAATAATGCAAGCCATTAACTCAGACTCAAAAATACGAAACAATCTCTCCTATAGTGAACATCCTGCTCTAATTTCACTGAAACACGAATATGAAATTCTTATTAAACTAGTTGATAAGTGTGGTGCCATTGTCATTCAAGATAAGTCCAACTACATCAACGAAGCTTACCGACAACTTAATGTCACAAATCACTATAAAAAGGTAGATTTGAACCCAACACCACACTTTGTTAAAATTATCCAAGGTATGCTATGTAGCTTACAGAAAATCTAACACGTCGGTCATGAGACATTACAGTTCCTTTCACATAAACATCCAGTTCCAGGTCACTTTTACATGTTACAAAAAATACACAACCTCAATAATCCTGGTCTGTCGTATTATTT